TATAAATAAATACATAAATACATAGTTGAACAATATTCATATGCAGTCATTAATATCTTTTTAATTTAAATTTTATTTATTTATAACGTTAAGATTTGAATCTCTACGAAAAATCTAACATCTTATTGTAATATTATTAAGACAAACGATAATTAGCAAACGGTGAACTATTAAAAGCTAAAACTTGGTGCCTTTCTCTTGTCATATTTCCAATTGCTCACATCTTACAGGCCATTGCCCTTTTCCAGTGGTGGATACTCGAAATTTATTTCTAACAGAGTTAATGGTTTGGGGTATATTGAGCAATGATTTAAAATTAAAGGGGCAAAACGTCTCGAAAAATACTTTAAGGGCAACTAAGTACAAATGGTATAGTTTAGGGGTAATGGTGCATTTAAGCCTATATACAAATATTCAACCGGATGTCGATAGAGTACTGAAATTCAACCAGTCCAGGGCAAAACTCCGGCAACAACCTAGGACATCTCAAATTTCAACACAAATGGTATGTTTGTTTCACTGAAAACAAATTCCAGAAAATGAATTCTGAAAAATGAATTACATTTTTTGTAAAATAATTTACGGAAATCATTTTCTGGTGTTTGGATGATGTTATTAAAACATTTTCCGTTGTTTGGTAAATTTTCCTGAAAACATTTTCTGAAATATGTTTTAGTGAAACAAACACATTATAATTTATTTTTTAAATTTTATATCTTTTATTTTTATTAAGTTAATTTTATAAATATAAAATAATATTAATTTTTTTATAAGGGTATAATGTTCTTAAGTAAGATTACAAATCGTATAACAAGTTAAGGAAGATAGTTACGAATTTGTTTTTCTGGATAATACCAAGCACACTTGTGAATTTGTCTTCATCAACAAAATGTGATTGAATAATGGGAACATACAAAGAATTTAAAATAAAATTTGTTTGTTATTTTATTATATAACTTATAATAGCCCTAAACCCTAAAAACTACATTGCTAACAACAAAACATGAAAAACAAAACAATCTTGTTCTACTGCAATTAAGCAAAAATCCTAATTGTTCCAGTCCCTCTACGCACACTTGCATTATTCACATAACAAGATCACACATGAGCAAATAACAAAACAACTGAATAGTTGAATTACCATACTCTTAACTATTCTTATTGCCAACTTACGAAAGGATAAGAGACTCCACAGATGTTTAAAACATGAGGTTTGTAAACAATTGAAGCCATGTACATTTAACATATGAATCTAAGCAGTGGACAGTGGAGTTTATCATCCACACCTAAGCCAACCCTCCTTATATGACATCCATCCAAGAACACGGGCTTTTCCTTTTACTGTAAATCAATTTACACAAAAACACGGGCTTTTCCTTTGGATTTTCCTTTTACTGTAGATCAATTTACATTTACCAAAATCTTTTACATCAAACAAACACGGGAAAACGTGTAAAACATTTTCCGTAAAATGATTTACGGTATCCAAACCTATATGGCAATACCTATTTCTATTCCAACACAAAATGTATAGACACACTATAGGCAAACTGCTTTACATTCCCCTAATTAGGAACTTTTCCTCCCAAGGCCCTCACAATACAAATGCAATGCATTGCAATGATATACAGAAGTTGAAACGGAAGGAAGGGAACTATTAGAAATTTGTACCGGTCTCCTTTGTCGCAGTCAACAGTTCGTCAACCATCGCCTTCTCATCGCTGCACCGTCAGCTGCAGCTGCAATATTCTTCAACGATTATTATCCTATGCATGACTTTTTCAACTTTTCCAAGTATGTTTATATGACTGATACATGCCCATCTCATAATCATTTTTCTTTTCAACCAAATAAAGCTCTTTTCCGATACCACCATCGGAATCAATTTCTCGGATCATACCTCCACCACGGGAAATCCCATCACATGTTCACACCCGTCTTTACCTTCTCCACCAACTTTCAACAATGCCATTCTTATTTACCTATCACATTCCCTCTCAGCTCCTTCACCACACCTGCCAAAGTTTCAAGAAAACAGCTATCATGTAAGAAACTGGATCTTGCAAAATACAACATTTGTAGCATTGAACATTTTATTTGAGAAACCTGATCAAATTTACGAAAACTCAAGTATGGAGTCAAATATAAATTGTCACCATTTGCTTAACCAGCGGTGTCCTTTTTATCATAGACAACAGACATCCAGAAAATAGCTTGTAGTTAAATGATCTTTCAGGTTCAACACGACAGTATAAATTCAAAGCAGAACAGAGTATTTGACCCAAGGTTCATACATACCTGAATTTCTGCTTCTGTTGATCAACTTATTTTCTAAATCTTGGGCAGCTTCAAGCAAGCCATGAGCGTTGTAGGATTGAATTATAGTTGCAAAAGTGACGTTATCAGGCATGCATTTTTTCCCTTTCATGGCCAAAAATAACTCAGCCATCCTTTTTAAGTTACCGGCCTGACTGTAGGCACTGATGATACAGTTAAAGCAAGGAGTGTCGAGTACGACATCGGAATTTTCCACCTGCCTCAAAATTGAATCGACCTTCTTAATTGACCCTGCCTTAGAGTAGGCACTAACAAGAGAACAATAGGTAATAGCATTAGGCTTCATTCCTTTCTGCTTCATTTCCTTAAAATACTTCTCCATCTTCTCAATCTTTCCAGCTTTTCCTAACACTTCAATAACAATATTGTAAGTAACAACGGTAGGGGAGAAAAATCTTTCGGCCATGAACTTCATGACCGATCCCATCTTCTCGTACGTGCTGGTTTCCCCGTAAGATTTAATAAGGATGTTGACTCCATCTTCTCAATCTGTCCACCTCTCCCATAAGCCCCGATAATAGAATTGAACGTGAAAATATCCGGAAGGGAATCACCACTTTCAATCATATCTGTCAATACATTCTCCATATCCTCAAACAACTCAGCCTTACCGTATCCATCAATAATAGTATTGTATGTAACAGTGCTGAACTCGATTCCCAGATAAGACATCTCTGCAAGAATTATTCCAATGAGATCAAAGCGGCGAAGTTTCACACAAGAATCAATAAGAATAGAGTAAGTATACACATCGGGTTTGCTGTCGAAGACTTATTTCATATCTTCGACAGCAGTAAAAGCCTCGTCGATGAGGCCACTCTTGCCGTATGCATGTACCAGAGCTGTATAGACATCAATGGTGGGTCTAAGCCCTTCCGAAAGCATTATTTCGAATAGCAGACCGGCTTGTTGAGCTTGCTTGCATTTACCCAGCATCACTATCAGTTTTGTGTATGTTTGGCATCTAGGCTCGTACCAATGTTGCTTGCGTAGAAGTGCAAATATCTGAGAAACAGGCAATTGTTATCCTTCTTATATAAACCTTATTTTGAAATAAAAAAAGAAGCCAAAACAGTTGAAAGGAGAAAATGAAACGACCCAGACCTTAAGAGCAGAGTGCCAAGCGTTATCCTTTATAGCTTCATCGAGAGCCTCCAAAACAGCCTTAGGCCAAAGCTTGGTGTCGAATTTTAATGATTAATAAATTATTATTTTCTCCAAGTAATTTGAGTTCGTATGGTTTATTATAGAAATATATATAAATTTATCCATATTTAAAATTAGACACTTAATATTATCTTATAATCATATTAAAACCTTGAAAGAAATTATATCATAAAAAAAACTCCAGAAACACAATCATTCAAATATATAATGTAAACCAAGTAGTAAACACGAAATCTCTAAAACTTTTACAGATAATGGACCAAATAGGTTCAATTTCAATGAGATTGATTCAGTTTTCACCCCTACACCGTTGCATCACTGGCTCTCCGAAAGTGGTTTACGGGCCAAAAAGAAATACATTGGCGTAAATATCTCTTTCCTGAAATTGAAACGACAAACCGTCAGCAAACTACAAATCATTTTGATTTAAAATTTAAATTCGTGATCATAATTATTTAATGCTATTTTTAAAATTAATATAATGTAACTTATATTACAATCAATATTTATTAATAATTTTTATTTTTTTATATTTTTTTTATTAATATGGGTAAGTAAAAGGCAATATATGTTTATAGATAAATCTCCATTATTTGACATCGAATGCTCACATTTCTACCATTCCTGGTACTTGAACTCTATACCTCAAATAATAACAACAATTATTTTTACCACAAAAGTCGTTTGGTTCGTGCTAATAATTTTTATTTAGTGCAACTCCATAATATATTATGCTTTTTTTAATGTCTTATGACGAGGGAATTGTAAGGTACCGAAGTAAGGCACGTGAGGATGTCTCTTTTGTTGTGGGAATCTTAATGTAGGTCAAGTAAAACATGTAACTGTATAAAAAAAAGGGTAAAATATATTAGACAGTTAAATTATGTTAAAATACTAAATTTTAACAAATTATTAAATAATTATAAAATAAGAATATGATATTATAAACTAATCATTAAAATTGTTACTAAATTTATTATTACATCACAATGATCATTTTATAAAAATTTAATAAATTTCATAGTGATGATTTTAAATTTTTAAAAATATTAATAAAAATTTAATGATGATTTTTTAATGTTATTATATCTTTTAGAGTATGATTTAACGATGGAGTAATTAAAATAACAATAATTCAAAATTTACAAGATTACAATAAAAAATTATAAATTTTAGTGACTGAAATAAAAATAAGTAAAATTAAGTGACAAAATTTAGAATTTATACCTCTGTAGTATATAAATATAGAAATCCGGGTTCACCACTCACATGTCTCAATTCCCTCAACTTACTCCTCCATTATGATCCTCATAAAATGGAAACAATTTGCATCCATTCATTCCTCCAGTTGTAAGATTCATCTCAGGGACAGGGACTGTAACAGTTCTTACAGCAAAAAAATAAACCAGAACATTGGTTTTGAAGCTAATAAAGATCTTTCTTTCATCGATATCGGATTAGCGAAAACGAAGAAGATAACACATTAGTCGTAGAAGATGTCGCCGGCTATCACAGACGACACCACACCCAATAACACCAATAATCCATGCATAAAATTCGTTGTCGCCAATATCAACGTTTCTGAAAAGTTTATTGCTCTCATCGCAACATATGCTCTTAGCAGAATTGTGCACTACCTGCTAAGGCCTCTATCCCAACCTTACATAACGTCCGATATTACCGTATGTATATCTAATTCGACGTCGATCACGACGATATCGAGTGCATTCGATTTCATGTCATTGCATTGCATTAATCGGTTTCAGTTTTGGTCTTGTAATGTTCACAGATAGGGCTGGTTCTAACAAGCCTACCCCGTGTGCGAGATTCCTTCACGACTCCATTCAATTTAGCTGTGGAAAATGCTGTCGACTTTGGCATGATATGCTATGCTTTCGTTTTGGGTCTCGAAATGGACCCTTACGTGATATTTAAGCCGCCAACCCGCCAAGCAATGGTGGCTTACGCTGGAATGCTGTGTACATTCATCATGGCTAGCACTGTCACTCCATGGCTGAATTATTTGAAGGAAACGAGGGCCGTAAGCTCCACCTTATCCCTCTCGATTTGTCTCTCCGGTAACGGCTCTCACATACTCACCCGTTTGATGACCAAACTCAAAGTAGGCAAGTCGGACATAGGGAAGCTTAGTATCAGTGCTGGAGTGCACTCCGATATGATCACTATGCTTTTACTAGCCATCGGTTTTGTCTTCTTTCCAGCGGAAAACATCGTGAACATTAGAGACGAGGTTAAGATGATCAAAATGGGGGTTGCACTTGTGATTCAAACAATAGTGGCGGCAAATGTATCACCTATTTTCATTAATTGGATCAACAATGAGAACCCTGAAGGAAAGCCACTCAAAGGCTCACACCTTGTTCTGTCAATGGCCTTCATGGCCTCTATATGCTCCTGGGCACCGTGGTTCGGTTACAACTCGGTTATGAGTGCATTTATGGGAGGTCTTTTTTTACCGTCCGAGGGGCGAATATCGAAATGGGCTATTAGCAAACTCAACAACTTGTTAAGCATACTCTTTTACCCACTTTTCTTCTTTTGGGTGGGGCTTAGGCTTGATATCTCGAGATTTGAAGCAGGTATTGTTGGAACATGGGTAAGACTGTTATGCCTTGTGGTGATTGCAACAATAGGCAAAGTGGGTGGAACACTCCTCTGTGGCTTAACGTTAGGTTACCATAGGCCGGAAATGGTAGCAGTCGGATTACTCTTGACGGCAAAGGGTCATTTCCACGTATACTTGGCCGTTGATGCACTCAGGGTTAGTTTTTCCAACCAAAACTGATAAATTTCTAAACGTATAATAAAGTTAGATTGATTTCTTACTCGAACTGAATGGCAGCGAGGAAGGATCGACGTTACGACGTGTACGTTGATGATAATTCTGGTATTCTTATCCGTCGTGCACACACCGATTGTTGTGAAACATATAATAGAACGAGCAAGGAAAAGGGTACCAATCCAGAGGATGGCTCTACAATGGCTTGATCCTTCAAGCGAACTTCGAATTTTGCTATGCCTACACGGACCACATAATCTTGATTCAGCCATCAGCTTAATGGAGATCTCTCGAGGCAGATCTGACCCTGGACTCTTTGTTCATGTCACCGACATGATCGAGCTTACAGAGCAAATAGCTGCAGCAATGGCACCCGGAGAAGGGATGGACAATATCACGATAACCGACACGTCGATCACGGAAATGAGAGATCAAATCACTCATGCTTTTCAAACTTACATAAATGAAAATGGGGGTAGTGGTGGTATCAAGATGAGCCGAGTGCTTGCACTATCCACATTCAATAGCATGCCACAAGATATTTGTGCTTTAGCAGAGGATTTGATGGTTTCCCTTATTTTGTTGCCGTTTCATAAGAGACTGAATGAAAACGGTATGCTTGATGAGGGCCATCCTGGTTTCAGATATGTTAATCGCAAGGTAACAACAAGAAGAAGAGTTCCGTACATAATTTGAATAAATTTTTAGAAATCTCCTTTAACCAATTCAAAGTAACTATTTTTCCCAACAGCTGCTTAGAAACGCCCCATGTTCTACTGGGATTTTGGTGGACAGGGGTTTTTGTTTTACCAGTAAGTTTCCAAGGTCATCTGCACCAAAAGTGGCTGTCCTTTTTATCGGAGGCAAAGATGACCGAGAAGCACTAGCCTTTGCCGGTCGTGTTGCGAGGCATCCAGGAGTAAAGCTCACGGTAATAAGATTCCTGGTAGACAAAAACTCAGAACATGCACCACGAAGAGTGAATAACAGAGTAAGTGCAGCAGATCAAGAAGAGGAGATGAAGCTCGACGACGAGTGTTTTGCTCAATTCTATGAGAAGCATGTAGCAGGGAGTGAAGTTGCTTATATGGAGAAACATCTTGCAAATTCATCAGAGACCTACACTAATCTTACATCATTGGAGGGGCAGTATTCTCTTATCATTGTAGGGCGGGGCGGACGAGCAAATACAGTATTGACACAAGGACTAAATGATTGGCAACAATGTCCAGAATTGGGTCCGGTAGGGGACGTACTATCAGGATCTAGTTCAGCATCCGGTACCTCCATCTTGATTATCCAACTACACAATATTAAAGCGCAACTAGATGGCCTAAGTGAAGAGTTCTCCATTATGTAAATATCAATACTGGTAAGACAGTTTAAAACTTTAGGATACCAAAATCCAAGCCGGGTAAATGTAGCTTGTAGGTAGAAATATATCATATTCTTTCTTCATACTGTTCTGGCCATAAAACAGAGCAAGAACAGGGGACAACAGGACAGTAATTACTAATCACTACGCTTTAAAGAATAAAAAAAAACTCTACTTAGTAGAACTTACCCTTCAAACTTTGGTGCCATCGCTATTTTCTTGGCAGTATATCCCTCAACAGGAAATGGCACTTTGCAGCCATTACCGAACAGCCTCACATGAAGTGATGCCAATACTTGTATTATCATTGCCAGAGCAGATAAAATAAGTCCTCGTATCTAAACTATAATGTACTGATAATCCTTACATTAGTCAAACAACTGTGGCTCAAATTTATGTCATCAATTTCAATTGGCGTGCTACTTTCAGACCATTTCTCAACTCTTTAACAGCTTAAACATTATTTTCTTACAAATGCTACCAACTTCGAAGGACAATCCAGAGTCCTGCTTTGAAATAAATGCACCATTGAACTATAAAATACCATCAGCAAATGCACAACTACATCACAGATAAGTAACATAAATCAGGCAATCATCTTGGTTACAAAAACATAAATACAGAAAGAAGATGGTTTGTTTTCTTGAACAGCTTTGAGACAAACTTTTTTTTTTGATAGGAGTAGAATGCCTCTTAAAAAACCTCCCTCTTAGTAGACCCTTGCCCATAGGCAAGAACCAACTAGCTGAAGGAGGAAAAGAGTACATAATTTTATTAAATATAAAACTTTTACATAAAACTTAAGAACTCTCCAGCCAAATACTACCAACATAAAACACTCCTGACACACTATTCCTCTACAGCATACAAACCAACTAAATCCATGACTACAATCACCCAATTCCCTCCTTCGCTAACTTGTCAGCTTTGAGACAAACTTCATAATAGTGTCATTACAAAAGCTTCAATAACATGCATTGCAGCTTTTAGTGCATCACAACAGCCAAAATGAGAAAATGTCTCAAAGGTATTGATTCATTTCCTTTTAAAGTCAAAACGCAAAAGAATCGGTTAACTGAGCTTCTCAGACATGGATTAGAAGTCCCTTGCATGCTTTGCTACCTCATTCTACAAATTGAAACACAAAGTGTGAGGATAAAGCTCTATATAAACTATCAAAATAGAGAATTATATTAACATTAACATGTTAATTGAATATTTCTACTTTTTAAGTAAATTGTTAGAAATGCGAAAGCTTCTGAGTATGTCTGTGTGTGCATGAGAGAGAATTTAATCCAAATTTGTCACAGGTTCCTGCAAATGCACCTTAAGCAGATCATTCTAATTATGTGAAGCAACCAACTTAACGGGTAAAAACGACATAAAAACACTAACAACTAGTGTACAACAAGGTAACAGACTTTTATGGGATATAAGGCAATCATCATAAATTTGGAGAGTGCGGTATAAGCACTTTAGTTTCTTAATGAAATCCTAAGTTAGATTGTATAAACTATATTCCAGTTGGACACACAATTGCTTCGTGAAACACTGCAATTTCCCTAATGTAAATGAAATTTATAATAGTAGTACTAATAAGTTATGAAGTTAAAAAAAATGCAGCACCTCAAATGCATTCTTCAAATGATCAAGTTCCTTATCCAGGTCATTGATAGCCTGATTATACTTGGAGAAGACTGGCTGGTCGTGTGGATCTAGAAATTGCATCAAATTGGTTAAAAAACACAAAGGATAGATTCAAAAATTAGAAGCATTTAGCCCTATCCTACAAAGAAAAAGACTCCTACAAAGAAAAAGACTAACCCTAACAAGGATTTTGTACTGCAGAGGGTGAGGAAGCTTGTAACCAGCAAACAAAACGTTCTCATCTCTATGCAATTGTCTGATTGTTCATCATCGTTAACAACAAAGGAGGAAAGAAAAACACTAAGCCGCTTAATCCAACATAAATCAGCAAAAAAAAAGGGGGACGGAATTTTTATAGGGTTAGAAGATTGTATGAAACGTACATTCGAAGGATGTTGCCGACGGTGTGGTCTTATCTCTCGATAGTGAAGGTCGCCGCGTTTATTATCTTGGTGTCCCTCTCGTAAGAAACCCTAAAAAACTCAACCAACAAAGATATCAGCGCGTTTGATGAATAGAGCGATTAGGAATTAAAAGGAGCCTACTTCTTGGTTCCCTCAGGGACGACGAATCTCTCGTAACGGTCGGGAGCGTTCATGGCTTTCTCTCTTTTTCTCTTCGTCGAACTCAGCTCTTTACTGTGTAGCTGGAAGCTGGAGAAGGTTGTAAATGAGTGTGCTTGGCCTTGAGGGCTCAGTCTCACTACCGGTATAAATATGTGGGTAAACTACAGCATTCGTCACCAGTTTATTTCTTATTTTCTAGTTTGGTCATTAAACTATTTTTAATAAAAAGACATTGTTATTTATTACAAATATTTTTATTTTAATCACCGATAATTTAAAATTTTACGGCAAACGTTATTTGTTGATGTGGTTTTCTTCCATTTTTCACATCTTTTCTCTCCTTACCAGTTATACATGTGATGTTTTTTAATAATTTCATTTAAATAAATAAATAATGATATATGTTACGCAAATGACAGTTAATAAACACTGAAGATAATAGGAATGGATCATTTAACATAAAAATGAGGTTCGTAGAAGTAGACATAACAAAAGAACACTTAAAGCACTTAACGACTATATTTGTCTCTAATGTAACGAATTTGATGATATAAGCAAATAAAGAATGTACGGGAAGAACATGCTGGAAGTTAATAAATATTTTCTTCTTTATTTACTGTAATCAAAATTGTCGTCATCTTATTCAATTAAAACGAAAATCATATTTTAACTTTTAGAAGGCTTGAAGTAACCATTGGATAAAAAGTTTAACATCCAACCACTTAGCTAAGTTAAAGAAATGGACCAATAATAGCATACAGTGTTAAAGAGGAGCCGAAATGGAAGAACATGAAAATGAGGTTAATGAATATATTTTTATCGATTGAAAAAATCAACATTATACATGAATGTATTTTGTGTTTAATGACTTAATCGATAAATTTGCTTTAATTTTGTGACGAGCAAGGCGGGGAAACATCTCCTCGATAAGATAATCGAACATTAGCGCATGAAGCTTGTGCACTGTCTTCCTCTTCAGCCCTTAAAGCCACGTCCTGCAGGTAAATCCGCCGACAAGGAACGCTCTGGCTGCAGTCGAATTTCACGGCCACTCCCGTCGCACTCGTTCCCCTGATGTTCTGGTAAAGCACATCGCTCACTTGCACAGCTGACACCTGCATGCATATGTAGATATTCCATTATCCTACATAGTAATTAATGCTTCATGTATTCAAAATCAGGTAATAGAGGTAAAGAATTTTGACCTGTTTGCGGCATGGTTTTCGTTTATCACAATAATTTTGATCGATGATGATAGGGTTACTGACGTTGTTCATCACAATGTTTTGAAACCTGATGTTCTTAGCATATCCTGATCCGCCCTGTAATAAAAAATTGATCACACTAACATCTTATAGTATATCCAGGAAAACAGTGTTGAGAATAATTATAAATATTGAATGCAAACAGTGAAATGAACATAAAAATTGTGATTAATGAACAATTATTTGTCAACCTCAACTTCGTTGGAATTAGGCAAACAGTGAATGAATTGTTGGTTGATAGTTAGAAACTTTAGGTAAACAAATTGTGATTTGCAAGTCAATAAGCAAATGGAAAATGAACGATGTTTGTTTGAAGTCGCTGGCATGTTGTAATCACAATAGTTTCACCATTTTCTTTTTGGTAAAGTACACTAGAGGTCACTAAACTATATCAAAATCATCTTTTTGGCCAACACACTTTCCAATATTAAAAATAATCATTAAACTCATAAACTGTTGAACTTTTTCAAAATGGTCCTTGCGAAGTTATAATTAAGTCAATTTTTTTTACAAATTTAATGACTATTTTAGAACTTATATCAAACTAATTACCTGCCATGTCTTTATTCTCACTCCGTTAGTGGTGTCCCGAAATGTTGCTTTATTAACTATGACATTGGACACATAAGCAGCAGAGTTTCCTGCTCCTAGGCTCCCAATGCTGCAAATATAGAACAAACTTAGGAATTTCACATTATATGTGCATAAGTGCTAAATGAAATCAAGTGTAACCTATGTTGAATTCGATACCTGATTCCATGGCCCGGTCCACAAGTTATACCCGTGGCACGGACATTTTTCGAGCCGCTCACGATTGAGATGCAATCATCTCCCGTCCCGATGACACAATTGTTAATGTTAATATTCTGGGTTCCGGTCACGTGAATTCCGTCGGTGTTGGGACTGTTACCGGGTGCTTTCACCCGAAGATTAAACGCATTAACGTTCACACATTCTCGAAAAATAAGATGCATTTGCTGTGCGTTTTTTATCCGCAGACTTGACACTCTCAGGTTAGTGCATTCATTGAACGTTACAGCCTGCAATTCCGAAGAGAAAATATTAACACAGGTAGGCCATATACGAAAAACAACGCATAGCAAGTGCAGAAGCTTACAGTTGGCGCTTCCTTGCAAGGCTGCGATTTTCGCGACGGAAAAAACAGAACAGAAACAGAAACAGCAAAATTAGTAGTTGTCGTTGAATATTCATCGATGTATACAAATTAAGTCGATGTCGAAATCACTTACGAGGGCTTTGTTGATTTTGCAGGACTTTTCCCACCATGTTCTGCCATTGCCATTGATGGTGCCGCCACCTTCGACTCGTAAATTTTCAACGTTATCGAAGTAAAGCCACCGTCTTCCATTACCTTCGTATTCGGAGTGATCTGTAGTGGCTTTGATTGTTCCATAGATCTATCATGTTCATATTGTAGGTAAAACGTTAATGATTCAATAACAATATCGTTATACGACCCTGTATTGATGTGCGTCTTTGTCTTAAACTTATATGCAAAGACGTATATCGAGTTAAAAGCTCACCTTCAATACAAGAGGAGATTTGCAAGGTCCTGAGAAGTTAATTGGCTTAACATGATAAGTCTTCTTCTTAGGGACCACCATAGTAGCTCCTTGAGATGAAGAACAAGCATAGTTCCAAGCTTTCTTAAATGCCAAAGAATCATCTCTTCCATTAGCTTTAGCCCCGAAATCATCGACATTGACCATCTTCGAAGTCATCGGACCACGTGCTCTGTCAAGTCTCGCTCGGATTCCGCTATTGTGGTCGAACCGGTTCACCGAGTAGGGATTACGGTAGTTTCGTATGTTGGGAACATGACCGAAGGTGCGAACATACGGACGATAGGATATCGGGCGGCGATAAGCTCGGCCACGACGAAAATCGACGTGAAATGGGTCCTCTGTGTAACTGTCGATGCCGAAGCAGGAACGCAAAGAGATTAATGTAAACAGAAGTGGGAGACAGAGAGTTTTTAGGAACATCATGTACTCTGCTAGAAAAAATTAAGGACAACAAATAAAAGACAATGTTGAAGGCTTAAAAGGAGCCGATGAGCTTGATTGTCCTAATGTGCACTTATATTTATAGGCAAGCGTGGGGTTGCTGTTTAATTTCGACACAATTAATGATACCTATGTCCGATGGCAATTAATTTAATTTTAGATATTGTTGGATAATGTAAACAATTAAATGGAAAATCTTTATATTTTAAATAAGATTTTATTTCTATATTAAATGGATTTTGGGGGTGGGTTTGAGAAAGTCAGACGAATCACTATTGGTTGCCTGCCAAATACTGGCTCATTTCTTTATTTCTGTTTTGTCAACTAATCACTTAATTTATGCTTGTTTACCTGCACATACGTGTCTCGTGTTGAATTTTGGTCCTACATTATTCATTTTCTCTCTATAGAATTATTTTTAAATGTTTATATTTTTAGGGTAAAGTACACAAATAGTCCTCCGACTATAGTATACTATTTTATTAAGTCATTCTACTATTAAAAGTTTTACAAAATGATCGTCTGACTATAGAATGTTGCTTTTTTAAGTCTCTCGACTATTAAAGTTACAAAATGATCATTCAACTATTCATTGTTGTAAACTCGTCTTTTTTTCATTAAAAATTAGCGGTTATCTAAGCTATAAGTTAACATAATGATTGGGATATAATAGTCGTTTGAGATTATGGAATCAAATTTTATCATATCACAGTCAACATGTTAACATTCAACTTATAATATCGTCAAATTTTTAACGAAAAAATGAGTTTGGAACATAATGAATAGTTGGGTGTCCATTTTCTAACTTTTAATAGTCGAGTGACTCAGCAAAATAACACTCTATAGTCGGATGACCATTTGTTAACTTTTAATAGTCGATAGACTAAATAAAACAATACCCAATAATCAGGGGATCATTTATGTACTTTACCTATTTTTATGGATTGAGTTAAATCTAGTTGATATTATATATCGTTAATACACAAGAAAATACGAGTAAAATACACTTCAAATTATTCAATTAGTTCAATTACAAATAGGTTATTTTATAAAAAAAATAATTTAATCACTCAATTAATATTATGAACAACACTCCATCGTTAAAATTGAGACAAACATCTAACATGGTCCAATACAATAACAATTTTAATCCTTAAAACTTATATATTCTATTAATTTGGTTCTAGTTCAAAACAACTCAATAAATTTAACATTTTTTATTTGGAAAAAAGTAAAATCAATGATCGATGATGGAATCAAATATAACATTAATATCTTTACTTAAATAAACTTATGCCGAATAATCTTAAACAACTAAAATTACAATAAAAGATAATTATTATCTAAAACCAAAGTAAACGTGCAGTACGAAAATAAACATAATCATTTAATTTTTAATAGATTTATTCATATAAATTTATTCATTGTCAATTCATCAAACACAAATTCAGCGTAACCATGAAAACTCAACCAAAAGTAATTCATTAGTAAATATTAAGGCATGTTTGACATAATTTGAGGAATTAATTTGCTGCGCTTTGGCCGGAGATGGTCAAACTATAAATTACAATACGGTGGTCTTCAACCAAAAGTAAAATATAGGTGGACTAGTACCAAAATAGATGTATAACTATGCCGAACGCACGTCCCGTAGCAGTGGCACCACCGTTTTATGCGGACATTGTGCATGCATGCGTAATTATGTATGATGAGATTCATCCATATTTATATGCCGTAAAAATGACAGTTGATATCATGCCATAACTGCTATAAAAGTTTGTGGGTAATGTTTTTTTTTAATAGTATGGGTTATTATAGAGTAATATCTATATATTTAGAATCTTTTTTATTTATTAACAACGCACACACATTATAAATTAGGGATTGACATAGGATCCGAACCCTATGGGTTCCAACCCGACCCAATTTGTTTGGGTCAAGTTTTAAAAAAGGATTCGGGTCGGGTTGAATTCGGGTTTAGGGTGAAAATACCCGACTCAACCCGGGGAAAAATAGTTTTACCTTATATATTTAGAAATAATTATAATAATACCCCTCTATATATTATTATTTTTCAATTAAATAATTGTTTTTATTGAATAAAAATAATTTTTTTATTATTTCGGGTCGGATCGGATTCGGATTCGGATTTTATCTCAAAAAATCGGGTTGGATTCGGGTCGGTGGAAGTTATATTTTTTCGGGTCAGGTCGGGTCGGATGAAGGATGTAAAATTTTCGGATCAGGTCGGGTTGGCCGAAACCCGACCAATGCCCATCCGTATTACAAATGCAACTGTTCAAACACAATATCTCTAAACAGAACAATACTCATTTTTACTACCGAAATTATTCAATGAATTCGAAAAGGTCTTCCATAAATACCTGTGACGATATAATATTGGCATGATATCTACTCTAACGGAGTTTAACCGTATGTACATATATCTATGAATTAGATTTAGAAGTTGATCATGATCCGTTTTAAAGTCAAAGCGTGAGATGTGCCAAACATTGACCCTCCCTTGTTAGAATTAAAATGCAAAATAGATGAGTAATGTCAAAGTTGCCAAAATGCCAACCTCTTTTTTATAACTATATTATAGAATTTGGTAAAGAACGGTTGTATATATGGGTTTGGACCGAAAAGAAGAGCGGGAAATGGCAGTGCCCCCGATGGTGGCCAAACGACAGAAACGTGGGGATCCACCGCTGGAACTGGCCGAAAGTGCATGTGTAATCATGTGCCGTGCTAAGTCCCACATGTTGGTTATTCATAAAATATAAGGATCATATTATAATAAGTCAAAACAAAGGGACCGTTTTCTTAGTTTTTCTAAAGTATAGGGATGAGATTAACAGTTTAACCATTTCATAAATCGAAGTGTTTATGGACCAGATCCGATTCGGGCTAGTCCATGCATAGTATCAATATGAGGTAAAAATTGACCCGATAGGGCAAACAGGTGAAACAATTAGCCCGTTACGTCATTTCCAAAATTAATTTGAGATTTAAGGTAAATGCTACAGTATAGTGCATGACGAGTTTGTCTAAATAATATTTTTTATTTAAATTCGTCACGTCAAGATGACAAATTCTAATAAAATATAATTTGTTATTAGTGTTTATCGTATCGGAATGACAAATTTCAATAAAATATTTATTTTATTAAAACTTATCACCTCGATTGGACAAGTTTCAAGTCACTGTTATAAATGTCGTAGTTCTCAAAATAAAAAAAAGTTTGATATCATATTGGGCTAAATAATTAGCCTACATATTGGGCCAAAATTTCCATCTATATCATGCTTAGTTATTAATCAACCCAATCTAAAATATGAGTTTGAGTTTTACTTAAATTTATATAAACTTATAAATAAATAATTTATACTCATTTAAACGTTCATGTTTTTTAGTTTTAAAAATAAATCATTTAGGCATGAAATAACTTAATTAAGTGGTTAAAAGAATTTTTATTGTTCCTAAAAGTTACAAGTTCAAACACTGAGACTACAGCAGGGTGATGAAGAATTCATTGTCAACTGATTGGTAAATTTCTAAATGTGTCATTGACTATATAGATTCTATATCTCGCACTATATATGCATAAATTGGTGGTGTGGTGTGGTGTGGTGTGGTGTGGTGAAGAGTTTAATTGCCTAGTCTGTCTTGTCTCCTGGTAGCGTTGATATTTAGGTGTTCTCCAAATTCAATGAGTCGTATAAGTTAAGGTTGCCGCTGTCGTTGCATGTAGGGGTTGGTTTCAAAGCCACAGCTACGTGTGTTGCCATTAATGGGCCACGTAGGAATTTGGTGGACTCAAACCCCTTCCTTGGACCATTATTATCTCATACGGCTATACCTTTCTCCCATTCTCTCAGTGTTATCATTTTTTTTATTACCCCTCAACAAATAAATATCTCTCTTTTATACTTGATTGAACGGAGTAAACACATTGAATTTAAATGCTCGAACTCGAATCTTAATATAAAAATAATGTTTTTTGAGGTAAAGTATATAAATGATTCATTGATTATAAAATGATGTTTTATTAAGTCCGTCGACTATTAAAAGTTATAAAATTATCCTTTAAGTATAATGTGTTATTTTGTTCAGTCGATTGACTATTAAAATATATAAAACGATCACTTTGACTATTTCATATGCTCCAAATTTATTCTTTTTGTTAAAAAATTAATGACGATTTGAGTTGAACGTTAGTCTGTTGACCGATGCATGATAAAATCTGATCCCAGAATCTAAAACGACTATCATATCATAGTCAATATGTTAAAGTCCAACTCAGACTACCGTTAATTTTTAACTAAAAAGAATAAATTTGGAATATATAAAATAGTCAAAAATTATTTTTTAACTTTTAATAATAAATGAATTAAAAAGAATATTTTATAATCAAAATATTATATTATAATTTTTAATAGTCGAAATAAACATCATCCTATAATCAATTACCATTTATGTACTTATTCTCTCGATTACCTAAACTAATTAATGAGTTCATTAACTCATATTATTTCTTACATAAAATTTATACTTTTACCAAATATTGACATCAGGCTACGGACATTAATTACAATAATAGTTTTATATTAATCACGCAAAATAAAATATATTATCGAATAAATTAAATTTAGTATAAATATAAAAATATAGGGAAAATGATCCTATATGACGTGGCACATAGTACGCCTAATATAGCATGAGCCACTGATATACAATAATCACACATAGTTGCCGTTGTCTCCTACCACTAACAGTTGGTTACATTGGAGAGAAATGGCGGAGGAAAAGGTGAAGCTGGTAAAAGATGACGGCGTCGGAGGTGGAAAGGGAATAGTGGAGGTGAACCTAAAGCCCTAGAAAGGGCTAAGTGCGACGCTGATTGACTGGTTGGAGCAGTTGATAGTGAAACTTATGTACGATTCTTCGAAGCCTCAACACTATCTCTCCGGTAACTTCGCTCCTGCTCCGACGGAAACTCCACCCACCAAAGATCT